CAAAACAGCGTAATAGCAAAAATAATTAGCAACTGGCACTATAAAATTCCAAACAGTTAAAATCTATTTACAGTTTAATATATAGTCTGCCTTTTAATTTCGAAAAATTAACAAACGAACAACGAACATTCACTGTTTTCCATTATCAAGTCGATCATTGATTTAACCAGTGCTAGACATGACACTGCATACGAGTAGTCATTGACTTTTTATAAGAGTATATAAAGCTTTAGTTCCTAGTTAAAAGTTACTCAGATTTATATTACACTGGCTTAAAGTTTGTAGTCGGATACCATAAAGTCCCTGAATGACAAAAATATCCACACTATAAGTGTCCAAAAACTAAACTCTCTAGTCTCCAAAATGTACATTATAAATTAAAAAATGATCATTTATAGCCATTCTACATTTAGTAAACAAAGAAAAGTTTCTTTTTGAATAAATATCATCACAACCAATAAATATTTAGTGGTTGAGATTTTAAAGGCTAGCAGAAGCGTAACTACTAGAGACTGCCGCCCGAAGAGGTCGCCACCCCAAGGGCTGCTATTCAAAAACATTTTTAAACTGTCGCATAGAACAAATAAAATGGCTCAATCCTGACTCAATAATGCAGCAATCTAAAAGCAAGCTACTAATTTTCTTAATTTCAAAATAAATATCGAGCAAAGTATTGTCGTCAGTACGTTACCTCTCACCTAACAAGTTGTATCTTGTTGGTCACGGCGTTTTTTACTAGCAGTCTGTAAGTCACGCAGGTGTTCTTTGGGTCGCGACTTCTTGGTCGTGGTCGGTAGAGCGAAGGTCATAGAGCCACTGAACGGATATAATTTTATATCGATTCTGGAATAAAATTAAAGGAGTGAATGGCAGAAGGTGTTATCTAACAAAATTAGTATTATGAGAAAACAGTTCGCAAAGTTTCAAATATTGCATCTAAAATTACTCTGATTATTAAATATTTAAAAACATAATTGTAGTTTTTTATCCTCTATTAGGATTTTTAGATTGCATTTTTTGTAGATTTAAAAAGTCTATATTTATCAACATTAAAAGGCAGATAACACCTTTTTTTTAAACAAATTATTCAGAAATATTCAAATATATTCCTGAATAGTAGAGAGAGAATACTAAGAAGTTTTTTTGTGGTAGATATCGACATAGCACTTTCATTTAGATATAAAAGTCAAACTCAAAGTCATTCACTCCTTTAATATGGTATTCAGCTATTTTTTTATTTCTAAATAAGTGCAAATGATGTCAATCTAATTTTTATTAACTAATAATTGTAATTAAGGTAAAATATTATTAAAAATTATCATTTCCATTCTACACATTTTTTAGTAAACAGAGAAAAACCAAAAGTTCATTTTTATGGTTCTAGTGAAGAATCAATAAATAATGGCAATTCGTAAGGTGTTCGTCAATATTTACAAAGAAATCGTAAATTTTAAGTAAAATATGTAAAATCAATTTAATTATCAAAGTTACTCATTAGTGCAGACAATTGGACACAATGGTTGTACTGATGAGTTTTAATTCGAAAAGTACGGGGTTCAAATCCACGCTGAAGGAAAATTTATTTATTTTTTTGTCAAGTTCATTTGTATTTACTGAAATGTTTTGCGATAAAAACTAATTTATTATTTTTATTTTATTAAATATATTACGAAATAATGCGTTTTTAAATCTCGTTTTATCTTGAAAATATAAGTCAATGTTTACACGGTTTTGAGATTAAAAATCGCAAAACATTTCTCGATTTACTTTCTCTTAATGTCCAAATAGGGTACTGTAAAAGTCATGAATTCAAATTTTATGTTAATAATAATTATTAAAATAGTTATTTCATTTTAATAATCTCTGAATTATTAAAAAATTGACGACGAAGCAACCATATAATAATTAAACTTAATAAGTATAATATTTTTGTATTTGTGGGATTTTTATCTAATGAAGGTGACCTAAAATAAAGTTACAAGGCAATTTATACTTTGATAGTGCGAAAAGAGCAAACAAAGAAGTCGATAAATATACCACATATCGGAATATTTTTTTGTTAAAGTTCCCTGCAGTGCCCACCATTCTACACAAGATTAGTGCTATTCTCCTTCCCTAATTTTTAATAAACCAAAATATATTGCTATTTCACTTATTTTTAATAATATTGATTATGAAACTGGTTTCAAAAAAGAAAAGCAGGTTGACTTATTAAAATAGAATTTGGTTAAACTTACAACTTAAAACCTAGTAATAATGTTGTTTTGGTCCATATTATTTTCCAGTTCAAATCAGCACAAAATAATTAAAACACAATACACGACAAAATATACTACTTTTTTGAAAACTTAATAACTTTAATAAACAATATAAACATACTGCAATTCTTTGAGAATAACTATATTCTAATCGTGGTTCTAATTGACAATAAAATAATGCATATACAAGTCACAATACAAGAAAGTAATATTGGTTGCCTAAATGTCCGTAACGTTTAACCGAAACACAATTCTAGTCAAATTTTAGTCAACATTAGAAAAAATATTGCATGCTCGTTCATGTTGCGGAACCTCGCTCTGCTCGTCCCGCAAATATTCACTTGTAACATAAAATAAGGCATTTCGCAACTGGTATCATAAATAGCTATTAGGGGGTTGAGAGGCTCAGTGGTTAAAGCCTGGTCTTGCAAATCCAAGAGTTCAGTTTTCGAATCCCACCTGTCTCCGGGATTGATTCTGATGAACATGTAGGATTCCCCACTCGACCATTCACTGTTGGATTCTAATAATTAACAATGCTGTTTCTAAAGAGGCGCTGGGGAATAGTAACTATACTATATAGTGTATTAGAGTACTAGTACTCCATAACCTGCACAGACCAAGAGTCTAATTGTCGAATCCGAGACATCAATGAAAAAAAAAATATTATTGTTACCATTATCAATAAAACCAATGAAGACAAAATGCAATGCATAATTAATAGTTGTTTAATAATTTCTCAATACCGATCGTACTACAGACATTCTCATAGTAAATTTCTCAATTAGTACGAACAGCTGACCAATTTCCAGTTAAATCATATTGTTTACTTTTTCTTTATTTTTTGAACTTTGATCTGTTTTTTTTTTATTTCGTATATCGTTATCTTTTAGTGTTAAAGTGACACACAAGGAACTTCACAGTTTGAGTGAATTTTCAAAACATAAACAAAATTTGACCTCCCCTCCCAGTTTGTATCAAAGAGTCACTGATAGCAACGCAGGATGATGTGTAGCAACTGTACCAAAGAGATACATTTATTAATTCTTGAAGATATTCACTCTGGTGTAGTAGGAACCTGAAGGTTGTACTTTTTGACCAACCCTATATCCAGTAGTGCAGGGCTTCTGAAAAATCTTACCTCCCATTTAACTCTCACCATATGATAGCCCTTCTAATTTTTTTAAAGAGGTTTCGTCACGTAATTTGAAATAGCTTAAATGTTTAGCGTTTCATTGTTTCAAATAAAGTTTACAAGAGAGCAAGGCTTAATTCCCACATTGCATATCTTTTTAACCAGTTAGATTGAAGCAACGTTGTATTTTTTAAATTTATTGTGATATCGAAAATTTTCCAGATAAACCATAAGTTTCTAAATTTATTTATCTGTAAGTTGTGGAAGGTGGGTTACCTCCACGAAACTTATGCCTCACTAGGCCCATTGTGCATCCTCCTAAGATGATAGGCACTTCCTAGCTCGTGAAGCAGCCTACCTATTTAATGTAGTTGACATCGTCGCCAAGAGGTGCTTCTCTTATATTGGCCGGTGTTACTCGATACTTGCCGAACATAAATATTCTAATAAATAAGAGCGTCGAGCAATCGTAAGCGATATGCTCGATGGTCTCATCTTCTTGTTCGCACCCTCTGCAGAGTGCAGATTTTGACAGCCCCATGATATGGCGATGCTTCCGTACTTGGCAATGACCAGTCAGAATGCCTGTGACTAGGCGCAGGTTCTATCTAGACATAGGTTCATTTATAAACAGAACTCAGCTGAGTCGAACTTGGGTAAGTCATCCTTAAACTAAAATCGAAGTTCGGTTACGACGTCTCTAAAGTTCCAGGTGGTTCCGATATAACCGATCTTGTGTAATAATCGTATCATATTTTCTCCTCGTCTTCCGACTTCGTTTTCATTTAGGTGTGATAGCATATTACCCTTTGATTGCCAAAATCTCTTTTACATAATTAAAGGAGATTTCTTTTGTTTAGCTAGCAGAAGCTCTGATAACAGCAGGAGTAAGCGCTGTTTCTTGTGCGCATACACGTAGAGGAAATAAATGTAAATGAGGTTGTGGAAGTAGAAGATATGATTAATTTCTCCACGCTTGCCGCCCCGTAAACCTACCAAAATATTTCTTTCATAATACCAGTGATGACACCCTTTGTCGCGCAGCACCTCCTAAGTATAGAAAATATAAAAATCAATATTTTTAAAATATACAGAGATGTATTGTCTTGGGTTATTATTGTACACAAATCTACACAAAACCAGATAATAAAATTAAATAGTTAGCTATCCAACAGATAAATTGATACTGTTCGTTAGCTCAAGGGGGTACCTATACTAACCACCCTAGGTTTGAACCATAAAGTATATGTTCACATCAACACAGTAAGTTAACCAACTGGCTCATTGGCGCTGTTTGTTAACTACGTTGATTATTACCTCTATACTCGTCGAAATAAATACCTAATAAAATATAATCCTGTATATATCTAGGATAGAATCAAGCCAAATAAAATGAGAAGGTTTATACATAAATTTTATATGGTTTTATTTACCATTTAGCCTTATCACAACGTGGGTATATAAATTATCAATTAATTGACTACAAAATACAGTTTTATATTTTATTTTCTACAATTTCTTGGTACGTGCAGTTGATCTGTCCCCTATAAAAGAGCAATATGATAACACGGTGGTATAATTGTTAAAAAAATGTAAGATTATCATTATCAGCGGTCATTGGCAATAAAGATATTTTCTAGAACAGATCAAAAAAGCTTTTTCAACAAATCAACTTTTGATTGTGATGTGCCCGCAGTACTCAGAGCATATTTAAATTCGCGATTAGTTATGCTAATTAATGTTAATCTTAAATTTGATACTACCCGTGAGCACAAAACAGTGATTTTGGATTTTGTTAATTTTTAAGTGATGTTGGTGAGTTTTTAGATTTTTTTTTTTTTTCAATAAAACAAACTTAAATACGGGCAACGAAAAATTCTGCAAATAAACATCTACAACTACATTTGTGTTTTCTCCCTATTTTTCTGCACCTATTTCCAATATTTTTTTGCACTTGTGATAATTATTTAAGTGTACTTCCTCAAAAGATTCAAAGTCTTGCAAGAAATTTAGTGTTGTATAGTTCAAGAAACTAGTGTGAGATCTTATGAGCGTTCAGCTTTAATATTAGTAAAAAGTTATGCAAAAAAATTAGTGTTGTATAGTTCAAGAATCTAGCGTTAGAGCTTATAAGCGTTCAACTTTAATATTAGTAGAGGAGCAGTCAAAGGAGTGCATACTTATTGCATATTTTTATTATTTCAGCATCTATTTTGATGATTTTCTCAACTAATTAGAGGGTAGGTTGATGAGGTTCATTATAGATTAATAAATAATAACGAGGTGATAAAATTTTGTGGATTAATAAGAAATAAATAGGAAATTAATTAGATATATTTAAATATAGTAATGTAGATGAGTCTAATTTTATAAGTAACAATTTGTATGAGGCAGATAATAGTAATAATGTTTGTAGTATTGACTTTAAACTTTAAATTTATTTTCTGCAATTTTCTATTTTTGTAAAGTTTGGGTCTTGCAGTTTGACTTATATGTATTATCATAACAAACAAATTTTCTCATTTGTTCCAGTATATGGATAGACAGATTTATACATGTAAATACAAGAAGTCAGTGGTACAAAACATATATGTACAAAACTAAAAGAGTATGTGAGATTGTTAAGTACAAAACTAAAAAAGTAAGTAAATAAGAATATTAAGTATAAATTATACACAGTGTACACAGGTACACGCTAACTTGTACGCAATTCAAAAAGTTATATACACGCGAAACGTCTTGTCAGAGTAGGTGAGCTGTGTTAATTCCGGTCGGCGTAGCTAGGTATGGATTGAAAGTCTTTGCTTCGTTTTCTTGTTGTCACGACATTCTTATTATTTGTTCATGTATGTGATATTTGCTTCTAAGGTTTATAAAATACTACTGCTAGTGACGGCGCAAATGAAAACAAACAAGACGCATTCACACAGACACCTCCCACCACAGCAATATGACGTTTTGCGTGTATATAATTTATTGATTTGTGTACACTTTAGCGTGTACCTAGCAACAGCGTAAATTATATGCAAAAGTTTTGACCCTATAATAACCTGATTGATCATTTACATTTTTTGCAGAATTTTTCGTTGAATCACTAATTTTTTTTTAAAAGATTAATTTAATTATTATTGCTAATATGAAGGTATTAGAAAAAGTTAATTTTTATGTTCGATTTTAAGTCCATAATTTTCTATAAAAATTTCCTTCATATATATACAACGAAAAAACGTGATTGTAGGTAATCCTTATCTTTTAATTGCAAAGAAAAAAGATTTTAAATTATATAATGTTCAGTTAATTTGTTTGTTGCCATCGATAAATAATTATTAATAATGTCGCCGTACAACGAATTTGCTTGTTAAGAGATTAACTAAATTACGTTATTTTTTTAAATAATCATATGTTTATTAAAAACCTAATAGGTATTAAAAGGTAGTTTTTAATTTTTCCAGCAAATTCTTTACGGTAATTTGTTTGTTGTAAAAATCCACACTTTTTCTGTTATTGCGTTAAAAAATACGTATGTGTTAGATTTGAGGATTTAGACGTTTAAATCAGTCTGGGACTCTGGGAACAGCAAACTGAATAGTTTCAGGAAAATGATTTACCTACTTATAGGTCAGTCAATAAAGATATCCTATTTAGAAAATTAATTACAAAAGTTTTCAAAGTTTGTAATAATAATCGGCTAGTTTAAATAACATTAGGTTTAAATTTGCAACCATTTCCAAGGTCTGGAACTAGTTAATTTACAGCAAAATCGCTCTTTAAAATTTGCAATACTTTTCAATTTTTTTTGCGACTGCAAAAGTGCGAATTGTTGGTTTTCGTTAGTTTGTCAAGGTTCCGGAATTAGTCCGAAGTTACATCTTCATTTTTAAAAAATCTTGGGAGAGATTTTTATTACTAGAGGATAGTTGATAATAACTGGCTAATGTTTCCGATAGTGCTTGTTTTTCTACAACTAAGTTATTGTGCTCTAAGAAATTTATGGAGTCTGATGTGTTTCTTCCGGAAAATTTTCTTACCATATTCTAAACTGTGTTGGTGGGGGTTGAACTATTTAAAGCCTTGGTTTCTTTGAACACTCCGTCGCGGTGAGCGGACAGTCCATCGACCGCTGAGGACAGCAATTTTCGCCCGAGGTGGTTTGTTAAAAAATATAGAAAATGATAATTTCTCTATGTCTGTGCGTGCCGTTTATGTATTATGAATGTAAACGAAAGGTACTAAAATGGATGCAAATAAATTGTTTGCGTTGTTATTATTGTTGGAAGAGGAAGAACAAGAGGAACTGGCAATTGCAACCGTCAAAGTTTCCAATAAGCCAGTGGATGAGTCGTTTTTGTGTCGCGATACAGAAGATGCCTTTAATATCACTGTGCAGCGGAGGCTTCTTGGAAATGAAACCAAATTTAGGGAGTATTTTAGACTTTCTACAGATCTTTTTGAATTCGTGTTGAGTTTTATAAAGGACATAATATCCAAGAAACCTAAAAATAAAGTCATGATGTCATCTGTATGTGTGAATTTGTCACTCATTGTTTTAAAATTAATAACAATATAGTCTCCGCACGCGCCGACGATTCCGCTGATATCAAACTCAACAGATATCAACCGACTCTTCGCGACAAATCAGCGGCATGACGCCGTCCTGCTCAGCTAAGCGGATTCAAGAAAACCATTCCCATTTAAATACTCTGGTTGGATAAAATCGTCAAAACGCGACGGTTGACGGACTGTCCGCTCACCGCGACGAAGTGTTCAAATAAACCAAGGCTTAACTCAGAGGTATATTTCCTCCATGATTCTCTTTTGCTTTTTTTTACGATGAACCTTGCTTTAACACGTAAATTGAGAAAGTTGAGTCGATTTTGTTCAGTACTATGTCTTCTATATTTGTAGGAAACTTTTTTGGATTCCTAAATTGGGTTTAGACAGTCTGGGTTTCACCAAGGGACTGTTGTAAATACGGAATTTTCCGATGGAACGATTGGCTGCATTCGTGTTTGTTAAGTGGTTTGCTTTTTTATTGAAATTTGTGTAAGAATTTACAAAGTCTACCGGGTGATCACTAGCAGCTGAGATTAGCGAGGAGTAAAGATCCCAATTAGCATTTTTCAGACGCCATTTGGATATAATAGATTTCGAGGTATTGGGATAATTTAAGTTCTTGAGTATTATGGGACAATGATCAATATTATAAAGGAATGGTAGAACGTTCCTATGATAAGATTAGTGAAAGAGAAGGATCACAAATATATTAATCTATTGCTATTGAGAAGTTGAGTTAAATAGTGTGCTTTTTCCGTTATTTAGAAGATTTAAATTTAATTTCTAAATTTTCTACAAGGAAAAAATGGAAAAAATATCGTATTGGAATAAGAAACTTTTTTTATATTTTTTAAAATTAAGATACTTTACTATCGTCTATAGTATTTTTTAGTCCAACTTTTATCAAGAATATTTATATTCACAAAAATTTACAACAAACATTTTTCCATGTATGATGCAAACTTTTTGAGACATACTGTATATAAGTAAAATCTAGAATCTAAAGCAGTAAATTACTGAGGGAAAAATCCTGTTTACAAACGAAAATTCCAAATAAATAATCACAAAAATTCGTGATTCTAATAACAATAACCCTTATTGCCACGCGTTCTATGCCTCAATACACACACAGTCAATGATAATATTGTTATTGTTTATTTCCTAAACAATGAAATAGCGATGTTAACACAAAACATTCATCATATCGTTTAAAATTCCAAACCACGCCTCCAAACATAGATTATTCTCACCTTGGTCGTTTGATAATTTTTAAAAATCTCTTCCTTCCTAGACAAGAAGGGAGAGAAAACGAAATAGAACAGAATAGAGTAGACTTTAAACCGGAACACTAATTACATTATCAACTGATAGTGTTCTTCTGAATCAACAAATCGAGTGTATCGAACACACGAACCAGAGGTCAGCGAGTGCGACAACTTCCTATAGTGACTAATAAAAAATAATCTACAAACTCCTACCGCACTATAACAACTAACAATTACTAAAAAACATACGTGAAATTACTTTAATGTGTTTAGATACAATACCAGTCAGGGAGGAACTCGATATTTTTTAGTAGGAGCCCCTAAATCTGTATCGGCCAGGGAGTCGATTCTCGACTTGTAGGAACCTTTTCCTATAGGAATTTGTGACACTTTCCTATATGTAGGAAAATGTCATAAATTTTCGATGTATATAAAAATGTCAAAAATTCCTATAGGAAAATATTCCTACGAGTCGAGAATCGACCCCCAGATCAAAATGGAAACTATTTAAAAGTTATCTGGCGAATAGATTCCAGGTCTTTCTATTCAATACAATCGCTTTGTTAATAATTATTTTTGTATACGGCTATGAATAAATAAAGTCTGACTCATCTGACTTATTTGTCAGAATGAAAGGTTTATTAAAGTAAAAACCATGGAAACATGATTATATTTAAACGAAAACTTTTATTAGGCCGATCAGATGTATGAAAATGTTCATTTTAACTACAAATAACCATTGAAAAATGAGGTATAAATAAAATGTTTACCTCTTGAACTACGTTCTGCAAATGAATTGTAAGTTATCGTCGAGGTCTGATATCTCACTCCTAAAACGGTCAAAATTTACTCTTATAATGAGTTCATGAACGTTGTCTTGGAGATTAACAGCGACTCACATTTATTTCTCGTAAAAACACATCACACATACACTAAATTATAATGGTAATGCATGGCATTATGTCTTTCATCGACCATCATCGGTCAAAGGCGTCACAATACAAACTCAAAAGGGTTTGCGCAGAGCATCTAGCTTTTTATGGCGCGTAATTCAAACGTTTTAAAATGTTTGGGCACTATACATGAATATAATATTCGACCGTGAATACATGACCTTTTTAACATATATGATAAAAAATTTCTATAGTTACCAAAAAGTTATAACTATTATTATTATTACCAACAAAAATCTTAAAATTTAGGGATTTCTTTATGTAGTAAAACTCGATGTGCAACTTTATGGGATAGTGCATTAGAGGTGTAAAAAGAATATTATTAGGTATGCGATATAAATAACTAAATAAGATTAAGCACTATAAATTAATTTTTTATACAGCCTCATGGATATTATTAGCTAATCTACGCACATACTACAACATGAAAAAGTATGCTATTGCGTTCAACTGAACAAATATATTTCATATCCATTCTAAGTAGTGAGAACACTGCACAAAAATAAAATCCACCAGTCACAGTTCATATTTTGGATACCCAACAATTATTATTTTTAAAATTTTAAATAATGAATAATAATAAAATTCTGTCAAACTAATTGTCTGTATATTTTTTGGTTATTGAGATTAAATATACTTTAAAATGAGTTATTGTTGTGTAGAGTGGCTATTAGAGGTAGGTAGGTAGGTGTATGTAAGAAATAGCCCATCTCTAATCATTTTAACATTCATAACATTATCAGTTGTCAGTTCTAATCTATACGTCGCGTCAAAAAACCAGCAACATCAGCGACCTCTAGGATTGGTGTTAGTTTTACTGGAGAGAGATAAATATATGTAAAGATCAATGTAAAAGAGAAAGAAAGTCA